TTATTTTCTCATTCTCTTCAATTAGGCTATCATGTCTCCTACTGTGGTTTTAATCTGGTTGGTATTCTATAGGTAAACCTTGTAGAGATTTAGCTTGGTATCAATCTAGTTACTGGAAGCCTTTGTTTTCCCCTCTTATTAAAAATAGCTCCCCCTCTAACATAATATACCCTGATTATGTTTTTCCCTCCCTATACTCTTCTCAGTTCCTCCCCATCTCCATCTGTTTTCCCATTAAAATTTACCCTCTGTCAGTTTCTCATGGGAAATGAATGGGCTTATCAGGAGTAATAATAAAATAAAGTAAAATAGAATAAAACAAAAACTATTTGGTTTGTAATGTCAGTTAACTCCAACATTTCTGTTTATATTTTGTCTGGGTGACCTTTCTACTGGTAATACAGGATATTTAAGTATCCTACTATCAGTGTATGAGAGTCAGTTTGTGATTTAAGTTGTAGAGTAGTGGTGTTTCTTTTATGTACTGGAACACTTTATGTTTGTGCATACATGTTAAGAATATCCTCTTTGTCTTCCTCAAAGAGTTGATGGGACAGATTTTAGACTTCCTAGAGGAGGCCTTACCCTCTCCAATGAGCAGATTGGAAGTGAGGTGAAGGGGAGTAGGGGAGCAGGAGGAGATGATGGAGGGGCCCCATCAGAAGACCAAGATACACAATCATACCATATATGCAAAGGGTCTAGGTCAGTTCCATGCCTGCTTCCTGATAATTGGTTCAGTCTCTGTGAGCTCCTATGAGTGCAGGTTAGTTGATTCTGTTGGTTTTCTTGTCATGTTCTGGAACCCTCTGGCTCCTACAATCCTTACTCCCTCTCTTACACAGGATTAACTGAGCTTCACCTAATGTTAGACTGTGGTACTGCTGCATCTTATTCAATCAGTTTCTGGAGAAGCTTCTCTGATGACAATAGGCACCAATTTGTGAATATACCAGAAAAGGGTTGTTTTGGTTTGGTTTTTGTTTGTTTTCATTTTGTTTTGTTTTGCCAGTCATGTTTGGTTCTATTCTAGATGTCTGGATTATCCAGGATCTGGGTCCTGGCCCTCTAGGCAGCATCACAGGTGAACTCTCTCTTATGATATGGGTCTCAGGCTGGACCAGTCATTGATTAGCCACTCCCACAATTTCTGTATCACTTTTGCCTCAACACATCTTGTAGGCAGAACACATTGTAGGTCAAAGGTTATGTGGTTGGGTTGTTGACTCAATCCCTCTGCTGGTAAGTGGTCTTGCCTAGCTATAGGAAATGGCCAGTTCAGGGTGCATACCCCCTATTGCTAGAAATCTTAGCTGGGGTTACTTTTACAAATTCCACAGATTTACTATTAATAATTTCTTTCCTGTATTTTTCTTTTACTTTTGGGGCAAGAGGTGGTAGAGATCTACTGTTAGACTGCCTGTTTCTCTAACTGGAGTAGTGGAAGCTTTCAAATGTGGAGTTTGAACAAGTATAGCTGATACATACCTGTAATCCCAAACAGAGGGACAAGAAATGCCAGGACAGGACAGCCTGGGCTGTTTCATGAGACACTAAGTTTGACAAACCTAAGAAACAGTGGAGGAAGGATTAATAAGACATAATTAGATCAATGAAGAGATTAAGACAGCTTGAGTGGATTTATTTCCAGCAAGGGTAAGTTATTAGAATAATTCTGGCACTTTGCAAGCCTGTGGCTTCCTGTTTTACCATGTGGTCTCTCCACTTTATAGTTGTTATTAGAATTGTGTCAACCATCATGTTCTGGTACAACCAAAGGGGCTCTCAATAGAGGATAGCCCGATCACTGCTCAGTTTCAAAGTCTGATTTTCAGCCTCCAAAGCTATAAACCAAATACAGTTTTGTACACAAATAGCAACATATTTTGTTGTAGGAACAGATAATGAACTGATAAACCTCAGGTATGCAGTCTTGTATTTTCTCACTCAAAACAACAACAAAACCCAAAATACAACCCTCAAACCAAAAGTGCCCTTAATTCCCTCCACCAATAACAATTGATTTCTCCCACAAGTTTTTCCACTTTATAGTTTATGTATAGATTTATTCTTCTTTTAAGTCGTAAGTCCCATTTGCGAATGCACACATGTGCACATGCGTGTGAGCACACACACACACACACACACACACACACACACACACCTGTACATGCAGTTAAATAATTCAAAGCTTGGAGGCTTGGAGATGTTAGCTAAGTTACCTCAGGTCATGTTACATTTCCCAATTACTTTTCATATTGGAAATCATACATTAACGTTATTTCCACTGAGCAAATAATTTTCAATAGTGCTGTTCTCTAAGAGACAAATTTGTATCTCAATGAGATATCATATAATGATTATACTTGAAGTTTGAGTGTGATAACCTGCTCAAAGGAGCATTCCAGAATCAACTTCTTGTTTATCTACATACCATGAGTATGCAGAAAATGGTAAAGAAATACACAAAAGTCAAATGAAAATGAACTAGTTTGGGCTAGTTATCACTTTCACATCTTGAAAAAACCCTCTCCTTCTATATGCCCCCATTTGTGAGATCTTTAATATTTGATGATAATTACTGTTTTTGAGTAAAAGACTTCTATATGTATATTTTATAGTGATAAGTAGAATAACACATTTATTATAATTTGATAATATTCCACCATATTTCCCTACTCTAATATTTTTAAACAGTTACTAAATGGACCTGCAGACACAATCTCTTATTTCAGTGTATAATAAGGTAATTATGATCAGCCCTGAAAACATGTATGTTGTGAATGGTGGTCTCATTGTCTTCGAGCTCCCAAATAAACACATAGATGCTATATTATTTATAAAGCTGTGGGCTAATAACTAGGGCTTCTTATTGACTATCTCTTTCTTAATTATTAACTCATTTCTATTAATCCAAGTGTTTCCACATGGTCTTATCTTATTGGGGAAGGGTCTGAACCTCTAACTCCTTTAGTGGCTCACATGGCGACTCTTCTGGCAGGCCGGTCCCCTCTGCCTACCTTTTCCAGAATTCTCTTTGTCTTAGTCCCGCTTATCTTCCTGCCTCATTGGCCAGACAGTGTTTTATTCATCAACTGATAAGAGAAACATATATACAAAAGGACATTCCCCTGTCACATATATACAAGTAACATTATTTAGAAGTTTGCATGTATATAACAACATATGCATGTAACAACAGTTAAGGCCATGTTTTTAAAAGGAATAAGAAAGAATATATGAGAGGGCTTGGAAGGAGGAAAAGGAAGGGATACAGTTACTTTATAATCTCAAAAAGAAAAGAAATAATAACAAAACCCAGCTTTTTAGCTATTTAAAAGACAAAAAAATTAGTGTGCGTGTTTACAATTGTGAATGGATTTTAATTGAGAAAGTAAAATTGAAAAACATAGAATTGAAATTTCATAGTTATTAGTAAAGTATAACTTCCTTCTAAATATACAAATCTCTCAATGAAAACTAAATTAGCCTAACCATAACTAAACATCATATATTACTTTTGGAAAAGAAAAATAACTTTTAAATACTGGCAAAAATTTAGTCTCTAATACAAAGATGTATTACATCACAGCTTACAGTCATCCATAACTTCAGTTCCAGGAAATCTCACCATCTTCTTCATCTCCATGCCCACCAGGCACACAAGTAGTGTATATCTATATGTACAGGGGAAACATTCATCTGTATACATTAATAAATCTTTATAAATCTAACAATCACAGATCATTTCCCAGTAAGGATATAACTCAGAATCTTTAAGAAATAAAAAAGAAAAAACAATTAATATAATCTAAATAGTAAACCATACTACCTGACACAAGAGACTTTTGATGAAGATAGAAGGTTTTTTTTATGTCTTTTTTATTTTTAAATTTAAATTAGAAACAAGGTTGTTTCACATGCCAATAGAAGTTTCAGAAGAAAAGCGATAACCTATGCTCCATGAAGGCACTTAGAAAGTTACAAAATGATAGATAGATCAGTCACACAGAGTTTATGGATCCTGTTAAAAAAGTGTGGAGAGATATGTAATGGCAAAATAACTACCCAATCCATAATACACTCTGAAGTTAAAGATAGCCAGACTGGCAACTAAATGACTATTGGAGAAAGCCATAGTATTATTTGCTGCGTATTTTTTAATGTTAAGATCTCCAGTGTAATTGTTATATAACAATAAAAGTGATACTCTGAAAATACAAATTGCATGTTATGTATTTGCAAAATCAAAATCCTGATGAAAACCGTGTGATGTAAGGAAAAAGTTATTCTAAAACAATTGCTTTTGTCAATGTTTTCAGTGTTAGATGCCACATACTTCAATGCTGAGATTACCTAAAAAAATAACTCTTTGACTTTGAACACCATTTTATTAGTATCTACTGGCATATTTGGAACTCCACAGTGCAGTTAAAACAGCAAAAAAGTGTGTTAAAATAAAAAGTAGTTTAGACATCTCTTAGGCTCCAAACATATTTTGACAGAAATATCAAGCAATTTATTATTTTCCTTTGAGTGGTAGTGATTTCTAGTTGTTACTTGTGGTTCCTATTTTCTTCACAATTTGTGGGATTTTGTTGAATTATAGTCCACAACATAATTAACAAAGGTTTTGCCTCCAGCTATTATAAGAAAAGGCACTAGAAAATTCTCTTTTAGTACTTATAATTGGAGAATAGTTTATTTATTATTTATTTAATCTTCATAGAAATTCAGAAAATTATAAGATACATTAAGTTTATTTTTCCAAGTGAAAGCCTCATTAATAAGGAAGGAAATGACCAAATTGACTTTGAAGTCTCCTTCTGTGCATTGCTACTTATATAACTTAGTGTCCACTGCCTAATATTTCCATTTATTAATTAGTAAAATATAAAATCTATTCATTTCAAGTTATTGTTAATATCAAATAGCATGAGGGAAAATACTAGATATCATATTTAGATTGTGACAATAGATACTTAAGAAGCTCTTATTCCGTGCTCGCTTCGGCAGCCCATATACTAAAACTAGTACGATACAGAGAAGATCAGCATGGCCCTTGTGCAAGGATGACACGCAAATTCGAGAAGCGTTCCATATTTTATCTATAGGGTTTTTGGGTAGTAGATCAGTATTTATCCCTGGCACACAAATGGACTTTGGGTACTTATCCCACAATGAGAGATGCTTTCTAAATTTGGACAATTTGGGGAGGGCTTGGGCCCTTCCAGGAATGAAATGACATACTCTAGATATCACCCATGCGGGGCCTACCCTCCTTAGGAAATGGAGTGGGGATTGGGTGAGGGGCTGGGAGGGCTGGTTGGGGGAGTGGGTGTGGAGGGGAGGGAGAGGGAGCTGGGACTAACATGGGAAGCAAGCTTGTTCCTAATTTAACTATATAATAAAAAGTGTAATAAAAATGTTCTTATTCCATGCTATCTTATATTTTCCCTATATAGAATATACATTATAAACATTTTATTGAAGAAAAGGTCATACAATATATTCAGCTCATGGTAACTGCATCCTATTTTCTAATGTCAACCATACATTCCATAATATATTTTATCTACTATAAAGAAATGTCAAGTGCAATATTGTATGAATAGTGTATTCTGTTCTGTTTCATCATAATAAAAGGCTCACAAACTGTGGATTTGAAATCTCATACTGAAATGCATGTACAATGAATTCAAAGATACATAGAAAAATCTATTGTGAAAATTAACTATCAGCATTATTTTGGTTAAAGTGTTTTTTGGAAGAGAAGAGAATAGACTACTTTTCTTTGCTTGGTATTCCAAGAGGATAAAGTACACTTTCACAATGATAGCTAGGGCAGATATTTCTGTCTACCATCAATGGAATCATGCTGATCACTGCCCAAAATGCAGCTTTGTCATTGTCAACAAAGGAGTTTGCTTTTTTCACAATATCTCAGAGTGATGTGCTGTTTCTTAGCTAAACTGAGGATGGAACATTTTAATATTTATTTTTGTCTCTGATTCTGATTAGTATAGAATAAAGAAATTATTTATCTGTCTGAAAAGTTACAACCATGGGATACTGGAAGAAAAGATGTAGTAGAGACCCCTAAGCATTCTCTATTCAGTAAAAACAATTAGAGAATGCCCCCACTGGGAAAAATAAAACAAAAAGCAAAGTCAGTAGAAGCAAACTTCTGTGAAGTTAGGAAACCAGTCAATGTAGTAATAGCTCAAGAGTACCTAGTTAGTTAAAAATATCTTAATCATGGTAAAAAAAAGTTTAATGGGTACTTTAGCATGCTTGCTTCCCTTCTTTCTCCTTCCCTATCTTTGATGTTGTCTTGGAATTAGTTCATCCTAGCATGAGAAAACCCAGCAGCATGGCAGGCACTGTAAGGGGGAAATGCCTCACAGCCCCTTATTGTAGATTTGTCATTTTTAAAAAATGTCTGGTATTTCCTAGAAGAATTATTGTGCACATTTGTGGCTTTATTTTTAACCCAGCTCAGTCCTTACTCAGGGAAAAAGTGCAAAAAACATTTGTTGAGGATAAATGGGTATGTGGAAAGTCACATGCTTACTTTTGCCTGTGTACATGCTCTGCAAAGACATGGGGAAGTCATATGTCCTGACTTCCTGATGACTACTATGCTCAGCTCAAGCAAAATATTAACCATCAGGCAGATTGTCACATGTCTGCCTGAGTCTTGAAAGGTGTACCTGAACACATAGGATTTGTGAGTAGAAGTTGGGAAACTTACTGCCTTCAGACAATAACAAAATCTTCTGAATCATTAATGGACCACCAGCTTAACCAAGCAGAAATTTTACTACCACATTTGGCAAGGAACAGAGACTTCTCAGAATTGGTACAGAAAAGCCATTAGCAGCCAACACTAACAATAGCAAGCATTGCCAAGAATAAGAAATAAGAGGAAGAGGCAGAATCTGAATTTCAGTGCTGATGCATTACATTCTTTTAAAATTCTGTTTCTCAAAACAAAAGTAAAGAATATGCACAGAAAATGAATGAGATGTGCAGACATACAAGACACTCATATATATTCAATAATGAAATTAAAAACTAAAATTAAAAGAGTAAGATTTCTTCCAAAAGCTACTGAAAGTCTTGCTTACCAGAAACACTAGTCAGCTCTCCCAGTAAAAGTGGCCAGGCTTTAGCTACAGCTTCTTATCTATAATAAGAAAGAACATTTGTAAAAATGATTATATATGTAAGTAATATGTAAACATGATTATATATGTAAGTAAAACATTTTTTATATTTTATTTTCCAGTTTAAATTTAGATAAGAAACGAGGTTGCTTCACAAGTCAGTTCCAGGTCCCTCTCCCATTCCCTCCCCCTCCTCCCGTGCCCCCCCCCCAACCCCCCCCGTTATCCCCTCATTCCCCCAGGGAGGGTGAGGCCCTCCATGGGGGTGTCCATAGTCTGTCATTTCATATAGGGCAGGGCCTAGACCCTCCCCCAAGAGTTCAGGGTGAGAGTGCACCTCACATTGTTCTATGGGAGTCCAAAGTCCATGTGTATACTTGGGATGGGTACTGATCTGCTGCCCAAGGCTCAATAGATGAATCAAATTTTATACTTATCTAGAGCATGCATGCATCAAGATGTCAGTTGAGAATAATGGCCCAAAAGATGGGAGAGGGAAGGAGTTTCACAGCAGCAAAGATTTGAAGTACTGTGTAAATTGTGTTATTGCTAATTCCCAGTAGATTGGTATAAATGGACAATATACTCCTCTAGCCTTAAGAAATACTTCCAGGAAAGTATTTGAAAAATGTAACAAGAGAATAAACAAGGGAGATAACATGGTATACTTAAAAAGTTTTCATTCCGAAAGATGACATCAAGGGAAACAAAGAGGATTATAAGAATCATAAGATGCAACAGCAAAACTCTAGGCCCTGCTCCAAACGATATGACAAACTTTGAAGATCCCCTCATGGAAGGCCTCACCCTCCCTGGGGAGCAAAAAGGAGATGGGATAGGGCATTAGTGGGCGGCAGGGGAGGAGGGGAGGGAATGGGAACTGGGATTGACATATAAAATAAGATTGTATCTAATTTAAATAAAAATAAGATTTAGCTTGCATGTTAGCAGTTGATAGCACTAAATACAACAAATTAACACTGTACTAAAAGAGAAATAGAAAAATTAGAGGAAAGGGTGCCCCTGTCATATATGCTGTCTGTAGGATACACATTTCAGCTGGAAATACAATGATCCAAAAGGAAAAGGAACTGATGCCCCAAACAGCATTATGTCTGGCAGAAGCGGGTACATATGTTGCTTTGAAAAACATGCTAAAGAGAAAAAACTTTACTAAAAAACATTATGTGAGAATTAAAAATGGTCACTATTTATCAAGAGCATACAACTAAAAATATGTCAGCTTAATAACAGAAGTCTAGTTAGGAAATCGAAGGAAAAATATAACTGAAGGCAGAATTTCTGTACTAATAATCATTGATTTTGAGATCAAGCTCAGCAACTGATGGCGCAAATAGAAGTTAAAGCAGAAAATAGAGGACAAAAAAGATGACATAAGCCAGTCTGAACTAGACACTATCTGGAGACTGAGCCACACGACAATGGAAGAATATGTTTTTAAAATGCATATAGGTGCCAGGCATTGGTGGTGCACATGTTTAATCTCAATACAAGGGAAGCAGAGACATGTGGATCTCTATGAGTTCAAGTTCATCCTGGTCTACAAAGAGAGTTCCAGGACAGCCTAACTGTCACGCTGAGAAAGTCTGTCCCTTGAAAAAGAAAAGAAAAAATACACACCAGATATTGCCCAGATTAGACCATAAAATAAGATGCAGAACAAAACATTTTCAAGTTAAACATAATGAAAACCTATAAGTCATAATTTTGATAACAGGAGGATCGAATTAAAAATAAGTAACATAATTGTGAAATTTTATCACATCTATAAAAACAACTACAAAACAGTTTCTTAGTAAGCACAGATCAAAGAAATCATTTAAAAATTACTAAGTAGAATAGAGGTTCTCAAAATGTGGGTTGTGATCCCTTTGGGGGTTGACTGACCCATTTACAGGGGTCACATATCAGATATCATGTATATAAGATATTTATATTACAATTCATGATGGTGCAAAATTAAAGTATGAAATAGCAACAAAATAATTCTGTGGTCGGGGATCACACAATGTGAGAAATTGCATTAAGGGGTCACAACATTAGAAGGTTGAGAACCACTTACTTAGAGGCAATGAATAAGAAACACCACAATATCAACCCTTGTGGTATGCAATCAAATGCCTTGTGGAATTTTACAACTACAAATGTCCTTATTCAAAATGGAAGATGACAAAAGGTTGTAGTTTAACATTTCATTTTAAGAAATTAAAAATATTAAGCTACAACAATAGGAAATCAAAGCAAATAATAAAGATTAAAATAGAACAAATAGAGTACAAAATAGTAGAGAAAAATAAGAAACTAAAAAATTAGTTTTTGATGATATTAATGAAAGCAGCAAATTTAAAGCTAAAGAGAAACTGAAACACAGGAAAGAATATGATCAAAATATATTGTATGAAGAGTTATTTTAAATTAAAAATAAAACTAAATTGACCCCAGTGAGTTAAATCATATTCACAGTTTTAGTTGCTAAGCAATACTGTGATGATATTCACATGTGAGGTGGGAAATAATATGAAATAAAAGTTGAGTAAGCATGGATGAGATTGGTGCATTGTAGAACAAACCCTTTTCTACCAAGTGATGACACAGGAGGAAACAGTAATCTCCTGCCCTTAATGGGGCTCTCACCATAACTCACCTAACCTGATATCCTGTTTGCAGATTTCCAAACTTCAGAAATATAAGAAGGGGTGTATGTACATGATCATGTGCATAAGTAAAACAGTCGTGCACATGAAGTGGCTGACTAAGAAATTCACACACACACACACACATACCAGAGAGAGAGAGAGAGAGAGAGAGAGAGAGAGAGAGAGAGAGAGAGAGAGAGAGAGAGAGAGAGAGAGAGAGAGAGAGAGACGGAGACAGAGACAGAGACAGAGAGAGTATAGGGCAATTGTAGAGACCTTAC